GGCCTGGGGGCGAGGAGCAAGCGCGGCCGTTCGCGGAGCGGGAAGCCGGACCGCGTTGCGGGCTCCGCGGAGCGTTTTATCCACGCTGAAAACACTCCTTGCGCCGGGGCTGCCGGGAGCCTTTGGCTTTCGTTACCCCGCTCCAAGGGCACGGTCTTTCCCGGAGGGGCAGCCAGGAGCAAGGGAAAAACAACTCCGAAATCCCGCGGTTAGGAGAGTTGCTTTTATCGCGGGGACGAATTTTTCCCTTTCGGCGAAGACTGCAAACAGACCCCGGTTCTGCCTGTTTTACACCTCCAACTTCAGGGACATCGCGTTTCCCGACTATCGAATAACGAGCTCGGCCGGGCCCGGCCCTGCTCGGCGGCCGGGCCCGCTCCTGGCTGGGAACAAAGGAAGCGGCTGGTCCGACTGCGTTAGAAATGAGCCAAACAGCTGGGGGAAGGAAAGGGGGCCCAATTAGGCATGTTAATTAAGCGCGTGTAATTGGGAGCGCCTTTCCTGCGGGTGCTCGTTGCGGGATAGGGACGCTGCTTCCCGGGTGCCGGCTGCGCTGCTCAGGCTCTGTCTTGTTCCCTTGATTTAAAGCGATACGGGGAGAGAGGAAAAATAAATAATTGGAAAAGAAATATATCTGTTTTCCCGGTGATCGCTCTCTATGGGCGCGGGAAGGACCGTGGTGCCTGGGGGAACGAGGGAGCAGCCTGGGCCCCGCTCCCAAAGGGCCCAGCACCGCTGCTGCCGCGGGCCCGCGCTCTGCTGCCTGCGGCGCGTTTGAGGCTCCTGGAGGTGGGAGAAATAAGTATGTTTGTTTACTGCACATTCAAAAAAAAAGCAGTTTGCTATTAAAAATAATAATTTTCACTGCGGTGTTCGGTGGAAGAGCAGCCGCCGGAGGGCCGGGGCCGCGGCGCCGGCTCCCTGCAAACACGAGTCGCCCGGTGCGGGTTCCTCGTCCCTGCCGGGACAGCGGGAGGGCTGCAGGAGCCCACTCGCAAATGGTCACGGAAGGGAACTAACCCGAACAAGCCGCGAGCTTAAATTTATTTATTTGTGTATTTTTTATTCTCGTCCTGTTCGTTTATTTAATGACACGGACAAATCTCCGGGTAGGCGGGTAAAAAACAAACAAAAATAAAATAAAGCGGGGTGAAAGGAGCAGGAAAAGGCGCGGGGAAGACGCTGCGAAGCCTCCTCTGCCCGCGCCTCCGGCTGGCCCTGCTGTTTGTCTAGGTGGGTCTTATCAACGTGGGCTGTTTGTTTTAAAAGTGCGTTTTAAAACAAGAAACGCCGGAACTGGAGCTAATGGGGGCCTTTACACTTTTAAAAATAATAACAAAAAAGGCGCCTGGAAATGTTCTCCGGGGTTTGCTAAGGCGTTACGGAGAGGGAGCCGGAGCTGCCCGGCAGCGCCGGGACGGAAGGAGCTGCGCGGCCGCGGAGCC